TGGCTAAGTCTTTGAAGTTCTTGGCTTTAAAATTTTTTTAGATATATTCAAACATTCTGCTATTTCCTCCTTTCAGATGAATTCATCTAGATTTCTCCTCCCTCCAACTTCATCCCAAGCAAATAAACCACCAGTCTGTGTTGTAAGTAGAAGTAAATGGAATAATTCTTGCTTATGACTCTAAAGCAGCCTTTAACAAACAAATAAATATATTTAACAAACCAAATAAAATATGCTGTAAGGTGATGTGCGGTGGTATGAATGAATGTACACATTACACTAAGTCAAGTATGTTTTCTTTTGTTTGAGGTTAGTATGCTGTAAGAATCAGATTACGCTGCTTTTATCAATCATGGGTTATGGCTTAGTGTGAAATATAAACTAAGCATTGTAGCTTATTCAATATATTATGATTAGAACAAGATATAGCTTATTGTGATATGTGAATGTAATTATTATTAATATTCTCCCACAACAAATGTGAAGAATTTTCACTGTAATTTATCAATGTTTATTTGGATACATTACCTATTGGAATCAGTGTGGCTTCCTTATGAGCAGATATAGAGAGAATTTAATTGTATTTTAGAAAAATACATATGCATTTAGAACACTGATTTTCAAATTTGGCAACTTTAAGATACATGGACTTCCCATATTCCCCAGCCAGCATAATCTATAACCTTGCAAATGGAAACCTAATAAGCTTTATTATGAAATGTCATGATTCTCTCAGAAGAGGATTCTAGAATATTAGGGAGTTCACACAGATGCTCTCTTAGGAATACACTAAACTGATACTGTTTCATTATTAATAGAAAATCCCAGTCGAACAATTCAACCACACCCCAACAGCATATCAAAATGCCAGAATGGTAAGTTTCTAAATGAATGGTCACTTGATCTAAGAACTTCAGAATACTGATCGACATTCCCTCCTACTTCTACTAATTTCCTGGCATCTTTTTTTGGAATGTTGTATCTCATTCTGTATAGCCTATAGAAAAGTGAAGATAACATGGAACTAGTGTTTTTGAGGTCAAGGAAATCAACTGTTCTTCATCTATGCTTAAATTTCCCAAACATGACTAGGTAGATTGAAGAAACTGCATTGGATGTGTGAAACTCCCCATTGCTCAGGGATGATTTAGTGCATCCTTGCACTGCACATGGAGTTGGACTAGATGGCCAAAGAATGAATGGACCAAGCCCATTCATACATTCTATGATTCTATGATATCCAACAAACTGATTGTGGATTTCTACCTGAATTTTCTGTTAGAGCTTTCCTCAAAAGAATCATGGAAATTATTGCTTCGTGAAAGTGCTGAGAATTTCCAATTCATACAACTGCACGTTTTATGGAGAAAGGGAACAATTGTTAATTTTTGTTGCAGACAGATGACTCAAACTTTAAGCATAACGGGAAATGTGTTCTCCATCAGGTGTTTTTGCCTGTCATTTTAAAGCACTTTTTAAATGTGTTTTGACTACTGTGTGCAAAGGTAACTAAAAAAAGTTCCCATTTGCTTTCATTTCAGCCCATTGTAAAACCAAACATTCCTCCCCCTCCTGTGCCACCAGCCAAATCAGCCATACCTCCAGCCATGGTATGTCAGCTTCCTAATCATGACTCTTCCACGATGTTTTGCTCCTTTATAGCA